CACACACACACACACACACACACACACACACGACAAAACCACAACTGTCCTGTGAAATCACACTAAAAGGTCATGGCATGAACAAAAATGCTTCAGGAGTGGACTGCGGGAAAGTAGGCGGCTAGATGGCAGGATAGGGCAGAAGAGAAGGAGCTGAAATGGAGGAAGGACGAACAGTCACTCGATGGCCCCCTGATCTCCTGAGGCACGTGCTTCCTTCCTGTGCCAATCTGCTCTTGTAAGTAGTCGCTATTTCTAAGGTACATTTTACATTCAGCAGATTAATATTCTGATATGAAAATAAGTATGAAAAAGATTCATTCTCTGATATGCTTGCTATCAACTGAGACATACTTACGATTCCAAAAAAGATTCATAACTCTGATATGAAAAATTAAAATAGTCCTGGGAATAAAAGCTTAAGTGAGAAGAAAGCACTAACGGCTCTATCTGTGACTAAAATTAAATACGTGAATCTAACTTTTAGAAACCTAAATTACAAAGCACTTCACTAAATTCCATAAACAAAGGAAGAAGGGGGAAAAAAAAATCCCATCTGGATGCAAAGACTAACATGACAAAAGAAGGGCTGGCAGTGAGCTTAAAAGCTTAAGCAGTATTTTCTAAAATGATCAAAAATAAGGAATCCTTTTCTTATGATACTCATTACTTTGACATTCAAACTTTTGTTTCAGAAACTGTTTATTCAATTCTGTAAATAAAATTCATTAACGGGAAATAAAAATATTAGTATTGCTACATTAAGCGTAGCCTAGAATACCATATTTTGGTCTAAGATTGTGATTTTTAAAAATAACTAAATAATTCTATAAAAAAATTGTGTTTCATATTAGGTTGTCTAGAGTCCTCTGTGATTGTTTAATTAAAAAACTGGATGTGTTATCACTTAGTACAATTTCTAGGCATACTAGTTCTCAAGTTTTCACAAAATTGTCAAACAAACTGGACCATTAACAAAATTTACCAGTGTTGGGGAAGAGAAGGAATATCTTAGCATTAATACCAACTGTATCCTAATCCCATTAAAACTGGGAAATCTAGTGGTACTTCTGTCTACTGCCTGCCCTTTTCACTCTTTAGTCAAACCGGGTAGAGCTGAATTCTTGTATAGTTAAATGTGGATAATGTAATTCTATTGTGCAAATTCATTTATGTATTCTTGAAAACAACAAGAAGTAAAAAATTAAAGTATACACCCCTTCTCTACACTATTAATTTTATGTAGGTTCCTAATAAACAGCAAGATAACTCAACATTAAATCCCTGTATACACTTATTCAACAACTATTTATCTGGACTTCTGTGCACAAGGCCTGGAGTCAGGTCGTCTCCACAAGACACAGGATGCCTGGGACTCTGTACAGACATGAATCGGGGCCTTACATCAATACAAGTATGAAGCTGTCAACAAGAGCATGACCTACTCTAGGAGCAACGGGAATTCATTAAGGGGGCTTAGGCTGGGGAAAGACAAGATCAAAATCAACTTTGCTTTGCTCAATACATTTCTGTAATCCAAATCTTTTTGTGTGCCAAGGAAGTACACTGATTCAAACAGACCTATGATGAAACTGAAGTTAGGTTTCCTAACATGTTTTACCAACGTGTGTGTGTGTGCGTGCTCGCATGCACATGTGCGTGCGTGTACAGTCATTTTACAAAGCAAAATTCAGTTTAACAAATAATGACTGAAGTCCCCTATGGAAAAGTACCAAGAAACAGCCTGCAGGGCACACTGCCATCCGTAAGAAATTGCCAAGGGGCTTTGTTAAGCCACAACAGTACTGTCTTCAGGAGGAAAGTTAGGCTTCATTGACCTATGCTTATACGTTTTATAGTTTAAGGACTAGCTCTGTGCAGAGCATTCTGCATAGGAGAAACTCACTAAATGGTCACAAAACTATACCTACATTGATAAAAATCCAAGTATAATCTATTAGCAGAAAAGGAAAAAAATAATTTTACTCAGAAAAGATATATGCACCCCAATGTTCACAGCAGCAGGATTTACAATTGCCAAGACGTGAAAGCAACCTAAGTGTCCCTCAACAGATGAATGGGTAAAGAAGATGTGGTACATATATACAATGGACTATTACTCAGCCATTAAAAGAATGAAATTTTGCCATCTGCAGCAACATGGATGGACTTGGAAAGCACTATGCTAAGTGAAATAAGTCAGACAAAGACAAATATTGTACGATATCACTTTTACGTGGAATCTAAAAAATACAACAAACTAGTGAATATAACCAAAAAGAAGCAGGACTCACAGATATGGAGACCAAGCCAGCGGTTAAGGGC